TACCCCCTGTCCTGGGCAGACCCTGCGGGAACAACTGTGGTGTTTCCCGATGAATTGCTGCCCCTGCAGAGCTTCCCGTTCCTCATGGCACCGGGAATGGGTTCCTGGTGCCCGCAGGGTGCCCTGCTGGCCCCGGCTCCTGCTCAAAAGCAGTTAAGTTCCTGGGAAAGCTGATGGCTCTTGCTGTGCTAGTGAGGCAAAGCAGAAAGAGCCTCTGTGTCTGTGAAGCAGGGGTGAAATCAGGCCTGGAAGTGGCTGCTTTCCCTGTGTACAGCCAGGCTCTAGCTGGGTGGGCTGTAGCTTGTTCATATGACAAGAAAATGCAGCTTCGTCAGCACCTTTCAGCCCTGCAGTGGTTTCTCTCCAGAGAGCGTATTTGCATAGCGATTACCGGGCGCCCTCCTACTGCACCAGGCCTGCTTGCTCGAGCAGGAGCAACCAGGTTTAGTGGAGCAGGCCCAGGGGAGGCCTCGGCGCCTGCGTCTCGCTACCCGCGCTGCCCGACGAGCAGCGGGCAGAGACCTGTGTGTGCAGCAGAGATAACGAGGCTGCTTCCCCGTTCAATGGATGAAGGAGGTGCAGGGGGATCTATCACCTGATGAAGCCTCTTCCCCTCCTATCACTCCTCCTCCTCTTATTGCTTTCCCCGTGCTTTCCTGGATCAGTTCTGTGCCTGTCATTTTCCCGTGCTCCATGGTAATCGCAGGCTGTCTGCTGCACCCGTGTCTGTCTCTGGAGTTTGTGTTTCTCAACCGGTTACCGTTCTCCCTCTGCTCTGCTGTGCTCTGGCCACGAGACGCAGGGCTTTGGCCCGGCTAGACGCTTTGGACCACATTTACAATTGGCCTCAGACTGCTCAGTTCCTGTCTGGGCTGAAGAGCCCTGTTATTAGCAATAATTTAACAAGAGAGCCAAACAGCTCTGCTCCAGGCGAGGCAGGGGTGTTACCAGGGTGTCTGTGGAGCGCTTTGCCCCTAGGCAGTGGGGACTGCTCAGCTCTGGCATCTAGCAGACTGCCAGGTCTGCTTAGGAAGAAAAACGCGTAGCTTTTTGGTGGCACTTGTGATGTGAAGCCCCCAAAATGCAACAACACGAGAGGAGGCACTCCCATTCCTCTGTTAGGGAGCAAAGGCCGGGGAAGGAAGGAAGGATGAGATGTAATGTGGCTGTAAAATGAGATTAGAGTGAAAGTAGCTGTTTCTGTCTGAGGCGGGCCAGGTATGAGGCATCTCTGAGCAACTGTCACTACCGGTCTGCAGCAGAGGCTGTCTTGGTTTGATGATTTCACTAGAAAAATCACCCTCCTGACTGAAATAGAGAAACCTGAACAGGACTTTTGTGTGGGACGGATCTCCCAGACTGCGCGCTGGCAGCTCAGCCCTGCGTCCTTTGCAGTGCAAGAGCACAGACTGTAACTAATTGTGGGAAGGTTTCATCTCAAAGCCAACGCGAGACAGGCCTGAATT